AAGGTGGGCCCCTCCGGCTCCATCCCTGGGCCTGGGCACTTGAGCCCAGCCCCCTGGACGGGCCCCGCCCTTCTTGGAGGGCACAAGCCCTCCCACCTGCAGGGACAAGACCCGCTCCCCCCATGGTCCCTGTGCATTCCGTAGCCCTGTGTCCTCTTGTCTGCCCTTCTCCCAGCCAGCTGAGGTTGGGCGCCTAGTGTTGAGTGAGAAGGTCTGTGCCTGGGCCCGGGAGAAACTTGGTTTTTGCCTGTGTCACCCACCACCTGTTCTCACGTCCCTACAGATCCACCTCTTATATTCTCTCCGCCCAAGAAGTCAGCATCACAGTAAGTGCCTCTGCCTCCTTGGCTTCCTTCTGCCTTTCTTTAGGTGCCAATGTCCCCTGCTTCCTTTTCTGCCCCTTCAGGAGGGATGGGAGGGCCAGGAACAGAAGTTGGAGGGAGGCGAAAAGGGGCATGCAGAGGCCCCGGCCGGCGGCGGTCCCTACTGCCCAAGTCCTCTCTCCACCCCCTCCACCTTGTTGGTCCTCTCCTCGCTTGTTCTCCCTAGCTCTGCTCTGTTGTGCATCAAACCTCTCACGGCCTGACGCTGGCTCCTGGGAGGGGGACTGGCCCCCTACCACAGACCCTGATCTCCTGTCCTTCCCCAGCTCTGCTCCGGGCTCGGGCAGTCCTGACAGTGTGGCGAAGCTGAAGCTCCAGAGCTCCCCGGTCCCCAGCCTGCGCCAGAGTCTGCTCTGGGGGGAGCCTGCCGGATCCCCCAGTCCCCATCCGGATCCTCCAGCGAGCCGGGGACCTTTACCCCTGGAGCCCATTTGCCGGGGCCCAGATGGGCGCTTTGTGATGGGACCGACTGGGGGGGCCCCCCAAGAAAGGTCAGGCCCAGAGCAGGCAGGACCTCGGCCCCCAGCCCGGCCCTTGGCCCGGTCCTTTGACCGTAGCAGCAGCAGCCCCAGTGGGGCACCACGGCCCCTCTGCATTGAAGACATCAGTCCTGTGGGGCCCCCTCCAGCAGCCCCGCCCAGTCCCCTGCCTGGACCTGGACCCCTGCTCCAGTACCTAAGCCTACCCTTCTTTCGGGAGATGAATGTAGATGGAGACTGGCCATCTCTTGAGGATCCCAGGCCTGCCGTGCCCCCAGATTACATGGATACCCGGCCCTGCCCCCCCTCGTCTTTCCTTCGTCCCTCGGACTCTCCCCCGGCTCCCCCCAGAGCAGCACTTCCTGGGGCTGTGGTGGGGGCTGGGGCTGCCCCCGAGCCACCCTACACAGCCCTGGCTGATTGGACACTGAGGGAGCGACTGCTGCCGGGCCTCCTCCCTGCTGCCCCCCGGGGCAGCCTCACCAGCCAGAGCAGCGGGCGGGGCAGCGCCTCTTTCCTGCGGCCCCCCTCCACTGCCCCCTCTGCAGGAGGTAGCTACCTCAGCCCTGCTCCAGGAGACACCAGCAGCTGGGCCAGTGGCCCTGAGAGGTGGCTGCGGAGGGAGCATGTGGTGACGGTCAGCAAAAGGTGAGGGCAGTCCCTGCCCATCCCTGCCCTAGGTCCTGCCCTGTCGTCCCAGACCTTTTCCTTACCCTCCTCCTAATATCCTGCATCATCTCTGCTCCATTTTCATTTTGGGAACCTGATACCTTGTCTTCTTTTAGAAGCGTGTTCTGCAGTCCAAGGATTTCCAGGGGAAACCCATGGCCCAACCTGAGTTTGGGGAACTTGGGTTCAGACTTTCCCGAACATTCCCTATTCTTCCACCCGCACCATGTTTGTCCCTTTTAACAGGAGAAACACATCTGTGGATGAGAACTATGAATGGGACTCAGAATTCCCTGGGGACATGGAATTGCTGGACACTTTGCACCTGGGCTTGGCCAGCGCACGGCTCCGACCCGAAGCTGAGCCAGAGCTAGGTGTGTGAAGCCCTCCCGAAAGGGAGACACCCCTGGCTGCACCGCCCCTTGTTCCCTGCCATCTTAGGGGCTATTCCAGTCAGACTCTGCACCCAGGTTCCTCTGTCTTAGACTGTGCCTTGTTCCCTAGGCTTATCTGCACTGGAAGGCCCTGGGGCCTCGCATGGGAGTCCTTCACCTGGTGAACCTCAAGCCGCCTTCTCATGTCCTGCCCTCCTCTTGCAGGTGTGAAGACTCCAGTGGAGAGCTGTCTCCTGAGCACTGCCCACGCCTCTGGCCCTGAGGCCCGCTGCGCTGCCCTTCGGGAGGAATTCCTAGCCTTCCGCCGCCGCCGAGATGCCACCAGGGCGCGACTGCCAGCCTATCGACAACCAGTCCCCCACCCTGAACAGGCCACTCTGCTGTGAACACCCCTAATGTGAGGCTGGGAAGGGCATGTGGACCTGTGGAGGAGGCCTCCAACAAGACCTAGCTCCAGCCTCGGGCACTGGCCCTGCCCCTTTGGTGCTCAGGCGCAGACTTGATATGGGCTTGGGTGAGCTTGGTGTGGGATGTGTGTGCTGACCTCTAGGTGAGTCTGGAGATTGGAACCGGGATCTTAGGTATGCCCCTGTGTGTGTGTGTGTGTGTGTGTGTGTGTGTGTGTGGTGTTTTTGGTGTGAGTGAAGTTTTTTACAGGTGAATAAAGAAAGTCTGAAAAATGTTTCTATGTGTTATCTGTCTTTGAATCTGAGAGTGAGGTGGGAAAATCTTCTGGACCCTTAGGGAGGAGGAGAAACTTCTTGAATGAATGGGGGTACGTTCAACATTCATTCAAGAAGCACTTATTGAGTGCCTACTGAGGTCAGCTACTAAAGGCTAGACATTGAACTAGATGCTGAGAAAATACAAGGTTCATTAGACAAGACTTTGCCCTTGGGGAGTTCTTTCTAGTCACTGAAGCAGACAAGCAAAGAAATAGTTACAGTATGATGTGATAAGTTCTGTGATAAAGTTATGTGTGGGTTATTATGGTAGCACAAAGGAAGGAGTTCAGTTCAAGTCAACAAACATGATAATAGCATTCACTCAGGCACTGCTCTGAGCTCTGCGTGTACTGTGTAATTCTCCACAGTTCTGTGAGTTAGGCAGTACTGTTAGCTCTGTTTATAGACTCTGGAACAGAAGCAGAGTCACACAGTGGATAAGGGTTGGAGCAGGTGAGAAGCCAATCCAGGAACAGCCTTTGTAAAGGCACAGAGGAGTGAAAGTTCTTGATATTCAAGGACTGGAATACAGACATTCAAGGACTGGCTGGGACTCCCAAAGGGTGGACAGTTCAGCCAGACGGCTGCTGATGTTCTGGATCATCAGGCTCAAGGCAGACTGGTAAGAATTCCACTGATGGCTCTAATCAGGACTCCACACCAGGGGACCTCTGCTCAACAGAAGCCTGAAAGGGTGGGAGGTGTTCCTCCACTCCCCCACTCCCCTACTGTGCTGCCCGTCACCCTCAGAAACCAAAGAACCCCTGACAGTCGTCTCCACAGAGGCCTCCTGCTCTGATCCCTCCAGGATTTAAGAAGAGGTGCCAGGTCATATGAGAGGAGATGAAAGGGCGAGACAGGCACGGTGGCTCATGCCTGTAATTCCAACACTTTTGGGAGGCAGAGGTGAGAAGGTTGCCTGAGTCCAGGGGTCAGAAGCTAGCCTGGGCAACTTGGTAAGCCCTAGTCTCTACAATAAATAAAAGATTAGCTGAGTGTGGTGGTGCACACCTGTGGTTCCAGCTACTTGGAAGCCAGAGGTGGAAGGACCATCTGAGATGACCCTATGCCACTGCATTCCAGCTCCAGCCTGGGTGACAGAGTGAGACTCCTAGTCAAAAAAAAGAAAAGAAAAGAAAAAAGAAAGGGGTGAGAAATCAGGTCTGAAACCTGGGTCCCAACACTGACCACGGCCCTCGGGCCCTGGGCAGAGTGACCTCACTGTCAGTTCCTGCCCAGGCTTGAAGTAGGTGCTGAGTAAGACCACGTGGGGGTGCTGTCCTGGCCTGCAAGCCCCCTGTCCAGTCACACCCTAATCAGGGAGGGGGAAGGTCTTCCTGGGCCTTTGCCTACCTTGACAGCCTTTTTCAACTAGGAGGCTTCTTCCCACAGTCTTGAGCTAACTTTCTAGACAGAAAGTTTCCTGCAAGAGCTCACAAGTCTATGGGATCCTGGGTGGAGGTTGAGGTTCTCATGGGTGGAGACCACTGCAGCTGCCTACACTGGCCTAAACTCCCCTGATTCTTTAACCCCTGTTCTGGCCCACAGCCTCCCTCTTAATCATTCCTGTCGCCTTGTGCGCCACGGCGCCTTTAAACCTTCTCGGCCCTTGCCCCGCCCCTGGTCCGCCCCGTCCGAGGCGGGACCCTCCTGAAAACCCCCGGCCGGCCTGGGCGCAGCACTAGCCGCTGCAGCCCCTTCCTTGAGTGTGCCGCTCTCCAGCCCGCTTGAACGGTGAGCTGGGCGAGACC